GTTAAAAAACACTGGCCAACAAGAAAATGATGCTGCTTGCCACTCTAAAAACAGAAGTACTGAAAATTCAAATATCAAACATCAGGTACCACCAGTGAAAGGGCCTTGCCCTTCAACAAATGAAGCTACCTTGGATAATGATGATCTAGTCGGTAAAAGGAGAAGGCGTTTGCAGAGTAAATATTTTAAAATTGCCAGAGTATTAGATTCATTAAGCTCTATAAAGAGCAATTTCCATGATAAACTAGCATATCCTTTGGACTCCGCTGCACCAGATGTATCATTTCAAGAGCTAACAGAGCTAAATTGTATTCATAAAATTCTCAGACACATACTTGACTCCTACATTACACCTGGAAATTACAGTACTGAAAATATAGAGCTCATTACCCGGAAGACAGATGAACAACTTTCTACAGTGACAGAAAACTTGTATTCTCATCATAACATGAAAGTTGCACAGTCACTTTTTGCTTGTGGATACCAGTCTGCAAATTTTCTTGAAAAATCTGTTCAGGATAGATTAAAAGTTGTGGCCTTCTCTAAGAGTCAACAAATTACTAAGTGTCTCACTTATCATGGCAAGATTTCAATGGCAAGAATGCACTTACAACTTTTGGAGGAGCTCTGTGACATTGCTAAGTCAAAGCCATTGAAGGATGATGCAAGAATGGTTCAATTATCAGAGTTTATATTATCTGAAAAAATGTTTATTCCACCAGTTAGACTGCAAAAGTAGTATAGTGTGGCTTGTTACAGATTATTAGGATTTTAGATATTACATTAATTGCCATAATATATTTTGTTGATGTCAGCATATAAATTGATACTATAAATTGTATATAATTTGTACATTTTCTTGGGGTCTGTTATTTATTGTCAGAGTGTTTTATAGACATTCAAATTTATCAATTCATTTATTACATAAATCACAGCATTATTATTACAGTTCTTCAGTAAAAATGTGAATATGAGTAAAGATAATATACTTGCTATTATTACCTCCTTGTGCAGTATGCATTATGCAAGTGGATTAGATGAATAAATAATGTATGTTTTTTTCACACTCCTTAGTAAATTTCTAATTGAAATATTGAAATAATTCTCTTACAAGGAGATGACATGAACACCTTGTAGTCACAGTTCTAGTTTCGCTACAGCTGTCCTTGAAAATATGGAAGAAAAGATAGGCAGCTCACAAGAATACACCTGAAAAATTCACTGAGATGCTCAATACATTCCTACTAAAGTTTGTCAACTCCACCATATTCAAAAGTTTCATCATGACAATCATATTGATCAATACATTGACAACTGCGTTCTACGCTACCTTCAGTAAACACCCCTCAACCTACAAATTGGAGTTGCAGATTCTTGAGGTTCTTGATGCTGTTTTTCTGGCAATATACACTATTGAACTTGTGTTGAAAGTATGGATCACACCCAGATCGTTTTTCTACAATGGATTCAACTGCTTTGACTTCTTCGTTTTGGTACTCTCCTATTCACAGGTAAAGTATATGACTATAGCTGAATATTTTGTTAATTGAATTTTTTTAAATCACTCAATGCAATTCCAACTTTTTAACATACGTAATTATTAATATTAATTCATATCAGATAATTGTTATCGACCCTCCGCCTTTGCCATGAAATTTAATGACAACTCACTCACCATAAATTCTGAAATTATAAAAAGGGGCAGTGTATACCTATCCTATTTTTTCAGATTGTAATGGTCAAAGCTGGATCACAGAACATTGGGGCATTCAAAGTTTTGAGATCAGTAAGAGCGCTAAGACCTCTCCGATCCGTCTCATTTATAGGAGGCCTCCAGGTATTCCTTTGTAGGCCGTAGGTACTATACCTACTTGTTGTGTAAAATATCTAATACAAAGACTGTTGTGGCGTGTTCCTGTTCAAGCTTATTTAATTATATTTACTTTTACACTTTTATTTCTTGTCATACACGCTAACACGCTCTATATAATATATTTAATTTCGAAATTTTCCCAATTACCACCAATAAAAGAAACCATTGCAGGTCATAGTAACTGCACTTTTAACTACCCTCCGCACATCTTTCCTTCACATCATGACCTTGTTATCAATCATAATGTTTGTTTTTGGGATTATGGGTTACTACATGTTTGGATACACTGAACTTAACAATCATCCAAATGACTGGGATAAGCTCAGTAGCGCTTTTCTGAGGTGAATTCATAAGTTTTTCATGTATGATACGAAGTATTGTTTATTAAAAAGACATAATGCTGCTCTGAAAAAAAAATATCCTAAATATTTATGCACCTCTCAAAATTCAAACTCTATGAGCAAACATTTCAAGCATACAGTCCTTACCTATTATTCGAGTGCATTTCTGGGATGAATAGATTAAACACTGGCTGAGTATCTTAAGTTTTATCTTAATAGTGGTACATTATTTAACTTCAATTTATTATCATCATGGTATGTTTCAGCCTGTTTGTGCTGGTGACAGCAGAAGGGTGGCCAACAATAGAGTTGGAGTTGAACCATGTCACACCTGTTCCCGCCATGTCCTGGAGTAGAGCCTACATCATATTGTTCCTCTTCATAGGACATTTCGTATTCTCCAACTTGTTTGTCGCTGTCATAATTGGGCAGATAGACAAGGGTAAGACGAAATTGTTTTCTTTTTTTCCTTTTTTAAACCTTCTTTATGACAAGTTGTTGTGATTTATATTTTGTGTTATTACAAATTAATTATCCACGAAGTATTTTGAAATAACCGATCGAAATCATAATCTAGTTCTGATAGATGCAATAATAAAACTGATCTAACTGTCTCAACTATACAATATATTATATATACAATACCTCAACTACCTTCTATTATTGTTCAGCTACATCAGCCTATGAAATAAAAAAAGAAACCAAGCACAAGATGGACTTGGATAAGAGGAAAATTCGTGTTGAATCGCAGCAAGCCACTGACATCCAAAGAATGCTAAAAAATCAGAAAAGCAAACATGAGAGCGAGACTTTCAGGAAGCATGTGATAGGAATGTACAAGTACATGAGAAAGGATGAGTTTACTGTCCACAAAGGGAAGGTCGTTTTGGTGCCACTTTGGGTATGTTATTTATAGATTACGATGAAATCTTTCCATTCAGAGCTCATTAAAATGCCAGTTTGCCCAACTCCGTAAGAGTAACTGGTTAAATCAGTAAACGCTTTTGTTGCCATTCTCATTAAAATTCAAAGTGGCATTATTTTTCAGATAGGGGCTTTCCTTCAAGAGCTTGACAGACAGCAAAAAAGTTCATTGAAGATTATCAACTTAAATCACGAGGTAAGCTCACTAGAAGCGAACTTGAAGTTACTCGTATGTACTAGCTTGGAATGTAGTTATGTAGGTATGTACTAGTTTGGACTGACGGATTTCTCAATACTTCGTAAAGTTCATTTTATGACCACCGATTGTTAACCGATCAATGCCATTAAATAGTTGCATAAATCTTATAAAGTTATAAGAATGAATCCACCACCTATTTTTTAAATGCAGAACTGCACGACATTGGGAGAAATTATGACTAAGATGGCAGGGCAAGCAGGGGATGAAAATGAAACAATTATGGAAGGTAATAATAGCGGGTCATTCTTGAATAGACCATCGAGGAGAAATGGAGTACAGCATCAGGCTGACATTCCTGTGAGTTCACATTCCTGTTTTATATCTTTATTATACATTTTATAATTACCATGAGCTATTATTCCTGTCAGTAATTGTGATTTGAATATTTTATAAGTGACTGTAACAATTCTTCGTTAGTAATTTTTTCCACTGCTAAAATAAGTGTCATTGTCATAACCATCACCATTACCATTTCCACTTTCATTAAAACTTCCTCTTCCCACTTCAGAACATATTCATGAGGTGTTGGTTATCGTCTTGTGGTTGCGAATTTGACGATTGTAACTGTACCGCTCACTCACAACAACAAGAGTGTTACAGCGCGCAGCGCATACAGGTAAAACCAATCTCTAGTGCCAGGGACTGGGGACTGTAGTTTAACTGGTGCCTTTGCCCCTTACGCAAATAATATAGCTGTCCTCTAAAATTCGCACTTAAAGACTGGGGACTATAGCTGGTGCCTTTGCCCCTTACGCAAATAATATAGCTGTCCTCTAAAATTCGCACTTAAAGACTGGGGACTATAGCTGGTGCCTTTGCCCCTTAGGCAAATAATATAGCTGTCCTCTAAAATTCGCACTTTCGTCGGACAAAATTTCAGCATAACCTTTTGGTTGCACAGGGTAATGTTTCATTATGTTTATGACTGCTGAAATACATTCGTTGAATGAAACTGCTTTGAAATTGAGAGGTCAGCTATCTTGTTTTGAATGCATTCCTTGATTTTGTCGATGTTGATGCTTGGTATTTTTTGTCAAGTTGGGTAATTGATCGGCACATTTTTTCAGTGAGACGTTCATATCTGGCATAATAGGTGCTCTGATCTTAATAAAAAGCATTTGGATGTGTTAGGACTTAGGATGTCTGAAGTGATAATACAAAATGTCCACATGCCGGTGTTATTGCATCTTTATCTTTAATTTAATGACTTTTGAATTGATATTGGAAGTTGGGACAAAGGTTAATCATTAATCTTATAATAAGTTGTGTATGTGCTTCTCTAAGTAGATAAATATCAGAATCTGTGTTTTCTTGTTCGTATCCATAATTGTCAAAATCTCAAACTAAGTTAATATTCTATTATATCATTGAATCTCATTCAATTTTATTCTTTGAAACCCTTCACTTTTCTGTTTATACTAGAAATTTTGCATATATATTTTAAAATATCTGCACCATGAAAGCTACAGATTGCTTTTAAAAAACCACCTAAATGCTTTTATTACAAAACAAAGCACAAAACAAAGGACAAAGATTTAAATATTATAACTTCATCTATATTTGCCTTGCACTTCGAAATTATGGTTATATCTTTTAAAGCTACAGAAAAATCGCTCACTATTAAAATCATCCTAGGTATCACATGGTCACTGCACTGGATCTGAAAAGATCTCATGGCATAGCACAATCACTTCACGATGGTTCATTGTAAATCATGGATAACAGACCCCTACAAACCAAACAAAACACCTCCTCTGCGTCCCCCACACTCGACCTCTCCACTCACACACCCACTCTAGTGTCTCCCAGAACACTGCCCTCTGAAACTTTACCTCCTAACACATCCCCTCTAGTTTCAGAGCATTTGAAGCAAATTAGAGAGAATGACACTGTTCTTACACCGATACACACAACAAAGTCGTGTTTGACGGACGAGGAGCTGGATAGTTACCCTGTGGAACCCCAAGCAGTAAATCTTCCTACAGTCAGATTTCGTCACGATTCAATTCCACCCGTTAAAACTAGGAGGCAGACTCTTACGGAGTTATTCAACAGCAATGTTTCACAGTCTGTGGAGGAAATTATGGCAGCAAGGAAGGAGATTAGTGCACATATTCTAATGGCTGAAAGTAATGCAATACGCAACCAAGATCATTCGTTTCGGTACTTTGCTCTCAAAATGACTCATTCAAAGCCCTTCAATCGATTGATGTTGTTCGTGATCCTGGTCAACGTTATGAGTATTGCCTTTCAGAACGAAACTACTGATATTTACAAATATTATGAGGTATTTTACTTTATTCTACTTAGCCGTGTGTGATACGTTGAATAATTAATTGTAGGATAAAGATTGTAGAATTTAGGGAATGAGTATTATAGAGTATGACGTCAATTACAAATTACAAAATTTACATACATGATACAAATATTACATAAATTGCATATTATGGTTGACGGTGTTTGTGAGGTATACTTATTACATAGGATTTTTTAATTTACCTCAATAAATGTAACAAATACAGTTAACTTTATGTTTGGTACATAATATTTACCTTCGATTAACTTATCAACAATTCCATGCAACGCTCTCCTTAGCATGTTGCATTAAAAGTACCTAAAAGCCTTAAAAGTAAGCCATTGACCATGAGTATTAATAAACGTAACATGGTGCTACAAATATTTCAGTTGTTTGCGATGTTAAGCGACATCTTCACAGCTATCTACACGTTTGAGTTTGCCATCAAGTTCTACGCGGACAGGTCACGCTACTGGTTGTCCTTATACAACATTTTTGACTTCTCAATTCTAATCCTCGCTTACGTTGACGTGTTATTGGCTTCCACGTCTGCTCAGTAAGTTTCAACTTTGTTTTATAGTCTTTCAGTTTTAAAAATAATAATAATAAAATTTGGTAGCTTAAACACAAAATCTAAGCCCAGTGGATAAACCACAAAACGTATGCTCTATTGTGTGAAACAAAGATACTAGATCAAGATAACTATCAAGGAGTGTATGCACTATGCATAGGACATAAAAAGTTTTGGAACGAAGATGACATGCTTATGAAGCGAGCTAACATTCTAATTGCTAATAAGTTCAAAAATATCATGACATTAGGTTGCATCCTAAACAGTTTTAGAAGAAGTTACGGGCAAATAGGTACCGACTAGCTATTAACCGGCTATTAGACCGGTTAATAGCCGGTCGGGATTGTACCTATTTGCCAAAGTTGTGAATATTATACATACGTATATTGATGGAAGGGATTCGTATTATACGTTCGAACTTTATATGGGAGATTTGCAGTACTGTCGAGATCCCTTAAATGTAACTCCATAAAAAGACAAAATACCCTGTACTATATTTCTGCAGAACTGCTCATATTAAAGTTTCGTAAGTCCCATCCTAGACAAGTAATAGCCTAGACAGGTTTACGTTTTATGTACAACAATAATTTCCTTCGATGGTGCAACACAAAGAATGGGAATTTAAAGGGCTGGAACAGAACCCCCCCCCCCCAACAGAACCCCCCCCCCCCCCCCCAACAGAACCCCCCCCCCCCAACAGAACCCCCCCCCCTGAACAGAAGCACCTGTTACTTTGAAGCGCTAATTAACAGATAGTATTAAAGTAGACACTGTTAATATATCCAAACTGTGTTAATTCTGGCCACTTTACACTTAGGGAGTAGTTATTGTACGAAGGGTACAAATTGTACGAAGTTTGTGGGCAGATGAGACTTGAATTTAGTATAGGAATGAGGTAGGGAATAAGTTCTTAAATTAAAATTATTTTGCGATTCCAGGGGCAACAACAAACTAGCCAGTGCCATGAGATCACTGAGAGCTTTCCGAGCACTAAAGATCGTGAACTTTCTACCGGGGGTCCAGGTTATAGCCTCTGCACTGGTAAAAACTCTCAAAGAGCTAATTGTTGACGTGATTCTCCTGCTCATTTTGCTGCTCTTCGCGTTCGGTGTTATGGGATTTTACTTCTTCGGGTGAGAAATACAGAATTTTTGATAATCTAAGGAGGTTTCATGGATTGAAAATTTAGCTAAATATGACTTAAGTTAAAACAGTAGATGTTCTGCGAAAACCAATAACCTTTTACCAAGAAATGTGGTTTAAGAAACACCCACCCCAAGGTACGGCGCTGTAAACGAGCGGATCCTAGAAACGTGGGGGAGTCTATCGGCAGTGTTCCTGACACTATTCACCGTGGTCACAGCAGACAGCTGGTGGAAATTCATCGAGGAACTGGTTTACGAGGGTGGTCACTCTCTCGCATACTCTCGCGCTTACATTGTTACATTCCTCTTCTTCGGGCATTTCATCACGGCTAACTTGTTCATTGCTGTTATCATCACTAATATTCAGAGTTCTTCTAATGATTTCAAGGCTAAGGAGGAGATGGAGAGAGGGATTCTTGTTCACGATAGAAAGAAAGAATATTGGAAGAGGTCAAGGAGAGAGGTTAGTCAACAATATGATTTTTAAAGAATAACATTGTATTAGTTATTGGTACATGACCCTTAGGAAACCAACTCTGTAAGTAAAGTTTATTGACTTATAAATAACAAATTAATTATATGTTTAATTAAAACCTGAAATCTCACATTAGACTATTTGTCTCCACAACCCCCTTTTTAATTATCTGTCCCCCTAGCCCTTTCCTTGGACGTAAATAAACATTGCTGGTTCTAAACTTTATATTAATTTATCTTCAGGTCAAGCGGTTGATGAGCAATACTAGATTTATAAACGGTGAATGTAATTTCAACGAAGTAGCAACAGATTTCTACTACTCTCTTCAAAAACGAGATTTTGTGGTGAAGAGCGACTTGAAAACTAATATCCTGTGGATGGATACTGTTTGTAAAGAGTTGTCCAGGTCGATAAAGAGTAATCGGAAGTGTCTCTATTTGCAACGAAGCATGGGTAGGTGCCAGAAAGAATATTATTTACTTTTTTGGTTATTATTTTGGTGGAAACTCCCCCTAAACTATCAGTTACCCTGATGAGGAATTTAAGTCATTCCTCGGTATTTTATCGTTTTGCACCAGTTTACCTTAAATTTTATTTCAGTAGAATCTATTGCCCCCGTTTGCAGTCTTAGTGAAGTGGACCGAAGAAAAGTCAGTATTACAACAGATATGCGATACGTTGTCAAGGTAACTGAAGAAGTGACAAATTCTTCTTTCTCGAAACTAGCTAAAGTTCAATTTTTCCTTTTAATATCTACATATTTCGGGAAGAATAGAACAATTTCGGGAAATTCAAATTCCTCTCAAATTAGTCTTCTTAAAAATTTGTACAGTATAGACTTGACAAAAATCCTCATTTGAAGAAGGATCACTACAATTCCTGAAAAGCAGCTATTAAAAAACCCAAACAGCCAAACTTACTTAAAACATTTTTTGTAATATTTTGTTTTTTGTGCAACTTGAAAGGTTTCTTAAATTCCCCTGTTAAAACTTGTTGAAAACAACAAAGTTTCTGTTTTTTATGAAACTATTCATTGCTCAAATACCATTACAAGGAAGTGTTACATGAATGTTTTGACACGTGAAAATCTACATTTCCCACTCCTGAACCAATCAGCTGCAAGACAAATATCACGTGACAATTGACATTGAATATCATGTGACACTACTTCTCCCGCTATTAACACCATGATTTGATTTTTACCAACACAAACCAAACTAGACAGTCCAGATTTAACTAATGAGTACAGTTGAAGAATGAAGAAACAACTGAAACTTTATAACTTGAAACTACGTTTGTCTAGACGACATTTTAGACGAGATTTACCACACATATTTTGCGATTTACCCACATATTTTGTTACCCATACCAAACTTAGCTTTATTTTCAGCACAAACTGACCGGACTGGAGTATCTAACACGAACATTCTCAACGGGAGGGAAAACACGCAAAAGTAGCACTATCAGTATGAAAAGAAATGATAATTTGAATGCTCCCAATAAATTGAATGCTCCCAGACTTTCAATATTTCGGAGAAAATCAAAGTTAGGTTAGGAATCGTTGTTCGGGCTCATTTCAAAGGGTTTATTGACAGAGTCTCAATATTGCAGTTTTATCCAGCTCAACTTCTGTGTATAATGAGAAAATAACAATAAAACGAAATGCTTCAATTCTATCATTTTTTGCTAGTAATTCAACGTTTTGATTAACTCTAATATTGAATTCAAGAGATAGAGTCCTAGCTAGTAGAGGGTTAGTATTACATTTTTGATAATGGATGTCGAATAGCTTATGTAATATAAGTTTATGTTAATATTAATATTATTTATGTGTTGTTTGTTTCACTGCTGCCAAATGAAATTGTTATTCAAATGGATAACATCTGTTTTGACTCTGAATTGCCTTGAACCAACCAATCGTAGCAACTGCTAAAAATATGTTATAACTTTTAAATAACTTCTATTTGACATGTGACGGTATCTCTTACATTGACTTTGTAAAATTTATTGGTGAAGGACAGCTGTATATCTTGACTACCCGTGCAAATCAAATCAAATCAAATCAAAATATAATGACACAAACATCATCACACATCATCAAAAATATATCTACTAAAGTTTAAAAATGGGAAAAATTATCTTAAATCTATTGGCCTAAACAACCAAGTTAAAATGAATCTAATTGACATACTTTCCACATTGACATACTTTCCACATGCAAACTAAAAATTCAGCGATTTTTATTAGTCTTCCATTTGACAAACTGTTTATTGTTGAATAAGGTTTCGTTCCGGTAGTTTGTTTTTTCCACACCTTAACTTTAAAACTGTTTTAGGCATAATGGCTCAACCGGCACCAAATGTGAGTACTTTACTTGAAAATTACAATTTCTATTCTTTTCAGTTGTGCGTCGTGCAATGCATTGTTTGGACAGAAAGCGTGAGCACCATAAACATCAACCCGGCTAAATCTATTTATAGATACTTCTAGTATATGCTGGTATTAGAGCTGCCGGTGAAGAATGTTGGTGAGCGAGTATTGGGGTATAACTGGGCCCTTGGGGTTTAGCTTAGGTCATGGTTTGGATAACTAACGTTTGTGTGAGGGTAGATTTTGATACAGATAGTTAGCCGGAGTGTTTTCTCTTTGGACCATAACATACCACAAACTACAGTTTACAAAGCCTCGTTGACAGCGTATTGAAGCTATCCGCTATTCAACTTATGTAGTGCAATATTCACTATTAACATGATCAACAAACTAACTGCATTCAATATTATCGTCAATTTCACAAAATATGAAAAGGCTAGAATCTTCGTGACAACCGAAGACTGATTAAAAAATACAATTAATATGAAAAGATGGCAGTTATACACCATTTACCAGTATGTTACAGAAACAGTCAACAATCTTCGTTACTTTAGAACTGTCCATGTTAGGGGCGGTCTTCAAGCATTTTCTTGAAAATAAACATCCTAAAATATAAGGCAGGCTCTTGACTGATGATCCTGGAGTATGAAGATTCTTCCCAACAGTCCTGACTGACAAATTTTATTGGCTAATTACTGATAGTTGACAGATTTGAGAGGCTGGAATGGAGTATGTGAAATTGGGAAGAGGAAAACGTTTTAAAACATGTGTTCGTGAAAAACATTGTCAGTTACTCAACCTTTAACAGCTTTTTACGCTTCTGCAACTAGCTGAAATTTGCCATTTTCACGTTAAAAGCATCTTCTTTTTCGCGCGAGAATTTGTGCGCGTATATTATATTTATTTACCGTCGACCGATCGCACTTCTGCTTGACGAGCAACCCCCGAATGTGTACATTATCGTTTATCACTTGTTAGGAATCAGTTCTCTGCCCTACATCCGTCAAATAAACACGCCTGGAAATACCTTAGCTCTTATTTGATTCTCCACAACAAACTTGTTAATCAGCTTTCATTATGACAAATTAGTGAGCATTACAAAATTATGTTCTACAAATTTCTATCTATTTCAGGCTCGGAGATCAAGTCGGCCGCAACGGAAACGTATGTTTGTTGATACGTATGATTGTTTAGGCAGAGATGAAGAGAAACAGCTTAGTGCAGCACTAAAAGCATCCTTAGTAGAATCAGATCCACAACCTGAACCAGATCCACAACCCGAACCAAAGAAACAAAATACCGCACCAGAAGAAAAACAGAAAACTGAGCCAGAAGTAAAACAGAAAACTGAGCCAGAAGTAAAACAGAAAACTGAGCCAGAAGTAAAACCACCAGAAGTAAAGCGGGGACGAGGCAGACCCAAAGGGAAACCAAAAGAGAAGAAAGCGGTTGAAGCGAAGAAAGTTAAACCCGACCCCGAATCCCAACCAGAAGATCCCTCGAGCAACACTCACGAAGTTGAAGATTCCAAAAATCCTAAAACGAAGCGCAAAAAATCCATCATCCGACAAAAGTCGATATCGGGGGAACCCGTCATAGTCAAACCACAACGAAAGTTTGCTTCCGTAACAGCGAACGGTAGAAAAGTTCCAGCTAAGAGAAAAGCTACCCCAAAACGCGCACCTACCCTACCAGCATCAGAAGATTGCGACGACACCCCAAAAACCGAGGAGTTTGTGGACTACCTCTGTTTACGCAGCACTGTACCCAAAAAAACAGAATGGAGACATTTCAGCGGAGACGAAGATTCCTTAGTTATCGCAGAAAGCGAGGATTCCTCTCCAGAAGATGGTGAGGACTTTAAAGTTTTTGATTTTGACGAAACCCCGACCGAGGACAACGACACAAAAACGGACAAAACACGACAACCGTCTAGCCAATCACGTACAAAACGGAATAACTCTGCCAAGAAACGGAAACTGACTCAGAACTACTACAACGCCAAGCTGAGGTCCTCTGCGGATCACACTGATAATTCCGTCCTTGACTCGGCTCCTGTGTTCCGACCGACTGGAGAAGAATTTAAAAATTTCCACGCTTACCTGGAAAAGATAACTTCTCAACTGTTATCAAATGGAATGTGTAAAGTTGTACCTCCACTTGCTTGGAAAACACCACACGTACTATCAGATGATTTGAGGTTCACTATGAAGAGACAGGAGGTTCACAGGATTTGCCACCGATCTGGTCCTAGTACTACAGTATTGAGACAGATCAAATCTCATCTCATCAACGATCACGGTTTTGAGTGGAAAGGGCTCCCTCAAATTGGAACCATGGTTGTTGACTTGGCCCGGTTTTCATGGCTGATGAAGAAAAATGGCGGTCTTCAAGTCGTTATTGACAAGAATAAGTGGTCCAAGATTGGTGATGCGTTGGGCATCGCTCAAGTGGCAGAACGTAACGAGCAGTTAGAAGATGTTTACTGTAAATACCTCCTCTCATACGACTTGTTGTCAGACGAGGAGAAAGATAAGCTCAAAATAGACGACATTGAAGTAAATGATGAGATCGAGGACATTGGAAAGAAGGATGACGCTGCAAGCTCTGAGGCGGCATGATGCTCACGCTCGCAAGAACAAGTTCCCTCCTGACGGAGTCGCCTCTGCAACATCTCTGGAGCTGGAGTTCTGGAACCTTGTGTGTTCGTCTGAGGAGTATTTCGTGTCCCCCAAAGGTATGGAGTCCACTATGACACATGGTAGTGGATTTCCTGCGTACGAGCCCCGTCATATCTCACAAAGCGACTGGAACTTGACCAATCTCCGACACCTCCCCGACGGAGTGATGGGATTCCTGCCGGATGTCAAGTTTGTTACTCAGCCTAGACTGGAGTTTTGTTCTCTCTTCTCAGCATCTGGATGGCATGTTGAACCCCACTTCCTGCCACTCATCTCTTACAACCACTTCAGTCACCCTCGTATTTGGTACGCTTGCCCAGCTTCCGATAGCCGGAAATTCTTGTCAGCCCTCCACGATATCGTTCCCCGTCTTGTTAACGGTAACCACATCCTCGACCCTAACTGTGTTCTTATCCCTCCTGCTGAATTCATTGCTAAAGATATCAAAGTGGTCAGAGCTGTCCAGAAACCTGGCGAGTTCATTATCACTGCTCCTAAATCTTACATCGCCCACTTCAGTCTCGGCCTCAACGTTAACGAAGCGGTGAACTTTGCAACTGAAGAGTGGCTCCACCATGGCTCAGACAGTTTGAAATTGTACCAAGATTGGAAGTTAAGACCACCCCTGAACATTCCTCAAATTATAATCGACGTAATAAAACGACACGACTCTTTGAACGAGCGTGCCCTGAGAGCTGCAGAACCCTACTTGATCTCCGTTCTAAAGGATGAGCTGGAAGATAGAAAGAAGTGCACTCTTCCTACTGCATCTCTTATTCTGGAGTCCAGTGATATGTTCTGTGAAAATTGTCAGACCATTTGTCATCTCTCTTCTGTTAAAGCATGTAAACTTACTGAGGGCGTGCCCTCAAAGATGAAGGAGAAGAAATCGAAGACTACCAAGAAACAACCAGCTTTCTGTCTAAAACATTCATCTCACATCACTACCGGTTTGCTGGAATGCAAAGTATCTGATGCAGTAATCAAACGTATGCTCAGCACCCTTGAAAAACGACTCCACCCAAAACGGAGTATAGTACACCCAGTCCAGTCTCTGGCCAGGTCAGTGTGTCGACCCCAGATGACACCCTCTCCGATAGTTTCCAAATCAGAGCCTGCAAAACCCACGAACACACCACCTAGCTGTGCGCCCCGTTCACCTGCTCACCAGGCCTCCCCCGTGTGCCCTCCTAGTCCTGAGGAAGCTACTGCTGGTCAGTCAGACAAGGGGCTGCGTCTTATCATTCCCACCCAACCTCTCGCTTACACCCGGTACCCTCCCAGTCCAACCTACACCAACACTCCCATCACTCCTCTACCTAAACCTATCGCTATCAAACCTCAGCTTGCCTCTCCCATCATACCCTCAATGCTGGTTCACCCTCAAAGGTACACCTTCAACATGGCTATGCCGGTCCCTCGCCCTCCCTCCCTTCCTGAACCACGTCCTGCTCTTTGGGAGTCCTATCAGCCTCCTGACACTTTATAGTCACGTGGCACTCCTTATATGGTAATCCTAGTCACGTGGTGCTCCTGACTAATAGTATGGGACAGATCATGTTTTACCTCACATGGTAGCGTTAGCACTGATAAACCCTATAAACCCGGTCGAGATGATGGTTTAAAGTCATCCAGTTTTGATTTCATGATGATGTGACTGAATTTATCATTTTCTTATCGGACTTTATTCTAACGAACTTAACTCGGTCGCTGAGGCTCTTAGCAGTCATAGTCAGGGCCGGCAGAATAAGGCACTACAAATGTATTGATCGATAAGCCACTAGCTGGTAATATCTCGATATCTCCTACAATCCGTTGGAGGAAGTTAAACCCGATACATTTCTTTGAACTGTAAAGCAATTGATCTCTAATTATGATAATGTTTAGTTATATAGTGTAAGTACTCTTCTTTATTGTTGCCGTGTTGTTATCACCTGTTGATTTGGCGCTCATTTATTGCGCGGCTTAAGTGTGATCTTTCGTGATTGAATTATGTATACTTAAAAACGCACTTGTGCAACTGCAAGCAGTGATTGCAAGTCCTGATTAAAATTTTCCGAAGATAAAGCCTATCACCTATGTTAAGGATGGACATGATTCCATATCTTTGCAGAATTTATGTAACATTTCAAATCTGTAAGCAAGGACTAAATTATATGTCATAAGTTTCTTATCTCGTTGCTAGCTTAGTTCTTATTGTTCAGGAATTGGGTATTTTTTGACCACATATTCAGAGATATCATTCCTTCTTTAACCTCTCATTCATATTGAATAATATCAGATTGCCACAGATAGTTAAAGTTTGAACCAAGGCTAAGAATCTTTCTGTAAAGCCCTTTATTGTATTAATTGAATTTTAAAAGTAAAGTGAGAAATCGCTGAATTTTCCGAGTCTGAAAATGCAATTGTGACAAAATTTTTGTGTTTCTGATCTTCTTTGTTGTGTTAAAGTAATAACGGAATTTGTTTTTTTGCTCTATATTTTATACATTTTTAATTGATAATTCCATTTTTGATCAGTAAAATATTTAATAGCTTCGTTGACAGTTAAACTCTTGTGTTGAGCCCTTTGGTTCTATTGCCTGATAAAGAGTCTCACAGTTAATAAAGTGACCGTTACATTTCGTTTCTAAAGAACGCTACCTCCTCAATCGTATAGTGTTTTTGTCAAAATATGAGCTGACTGTTTAATATGATTTGCGCGAAACGTTATGTATTTTAGTGCATTTGCCACAGAAAATGAATCGTGTTGCACAAGCTTATAAAAATTTAAGTGATACGAAAAAGGGTTATGTTGTATTGTAATCACGATTTAAAGTTAAAATGTGCGTGAGTGTAAAATTTAAACAGAATCATTGTACAAACATTAATTGTATTGCGATTTTTCTTTTATCAAAATCTTGAAATTATTGCGTTTTCCTTGTTTATTTCTCATCATAAATCAAAGGATCGTCCACAAGAAAGTTTCACTAATACTTTTTCAGAGATCTGAGCGAACTTGTGGCCCGGCCTGTAAAGAAACTACGAGCAAATATCCTTGCTAGTTGATCTAGTTGATCTATTTGATCTAGTTGATCTGTGCTTATTACTGTTGCGAATAACCATCGCGTGCTCTTTCCACGTTACTTGTCAGCAAAAACTGATAAACTCTGAATTTTAATTGGTCAATGTGTTTATTAACATTTGACTGATGTGATATTTAAATATTTTAAAATTACTTGCAGACAGATTTAGGCTGGATTGTATGAACGCAGTTTTTCAGCTTGTTTTAATGACGTAATTGTGTGGGCGATCTTTTGATATACGAGAAATAATTGATATATTTTTGTAGTTTGATCATCAAGATCTATGATGTATAGTTGAGGGTAGATTGTGATTTTAAAAGTTTGGAAAAGTTGCGAGCGTTTCTTCTTCTGGCCAGACAAAACTTGAAATCAAATTTTGCTAACCTACAATCTAGCCGGAAAATCCTTAAATTATCTCTATAGACCATATCAGAGTAGTAAAATAGGCAATATAAGGTCTGTAAAACAAACTGTCTGATGTTTAAAAGTTGTAATAAGAACATGAACTTAATTTAATTAATTTCCTAAACGGCACAGTTTGTGCTACTGCTATATAATACCAATACCCACAACCCAGCGGATCACGTAACAAGTATTGCAGAAACCAACCTTACTAATTACTGTGCTAATTACTGCGCTAATTACCTTACTAATTACTGTGCTGTACGTAATATCAGTTGCCACTTGCCACGCTATGAACTTAAACATTGACTGCAGTGCATTTGGCATTGGATAATATTAATAAAAGTTAGTATAAGCTGAATAACAAATAACGATGCCCCGACCTTATTAAAATTCTGAATACCTGATCTGATCTCGATACACTCCGGCCTAAAGTGCATCAATGTCGAGAGGATCAGAGCCTCTCAACTCTAATTTCATCCCAAAGTTCGATATTCATATCTCCATAAAATGAGGTCGGCTGATTTGAGGACTGACGCTGGAATTACTAAACTGTAAACTCAAATATGTAATAAGTATAACTGTTCTGTCTATGATCTGATTTACCTGGGGACCCCACGCCATAATGTTCATAAACATAGAATAGAGATTAGGCGGAATGACAGGCTGAGCACCGCCTACTGCCCAGTAATCTATGATTAATATCTATCAGTACTTAGATCACTATATGTACATTAACAAGTTCTCCATTTAATTATTATTATGTGGCTCTGCGAAATGTGACAGAAAATTCAAAATCCTAATCTACGAGTACGGGGCCATCCTTAAACTACGTCCAGTTCCACTGGCGCTAATTTGGCTGATTTTCAGACCACCCACTAGGCGCCATAGTCTTCACACAGCATTAGCCAACCACGAGCATCCTTACTCATGTTACTGATGCAGGATCCTTCGTAACTGCAAGCTCGTGAGGGCACTGGTTACTGTTATAGGGCACTGGTTACTAATACTGTTATAGAGTTGATTCGCAATGTCAATCCCTCGCAGCACGACGTGAAATTTTTGTAAGATTAGTAAGAGCCCGAACAATGACCTTTCTTATTAATGTAATATGTATGTACTACGGCTTTACCTAATTATTAAAGATCTGGGCTTCACTGTCAACCCCAGAAGAAGCAGGAGATACCCAGCAGTTAAGGTGACAGATGTCGACTTTGCTGACGATTTTGCACTGACAACAGACACCGCAGAGCAAGCGCAAGATCTTCTCCTCAGTTTGGAGCTGGCTGCTAACTGAAACTCCGTTGGACTTCACCTCAACGAGAGTAAGACGAAGTACATCAGAGTCAATCTCTCTGAGTCTGACTCTACCGTCATTAATTATTTAAAGCAGCAAGTGGGCAGGAGATAGGGCAAGTAGATGAATTTGTCTACCTTGGAAGCAGAATAATGAGTGCGGAGAAGGACTTTGATGTTAGGAAAGCAAAGGCATGGGGGGGGGGGGGGGGGGGGGGGGCTGTCATCAGTTAAAGACAATCTGGAATGCGCAGGGACTTAATGATCCGTGTCTTTCGAGCAACGGTTGAGTCCGTACTCCTGTACGGCTCTGAAGCTTGGAGGATAAGCCAATCCATGACTAAGCGGATCAATGGATGCTACACTAAAATGCTCCGGATGGCCTTGAACATACGTTGGCCACAAATCATCAACAACAGTGATTTATACGGCAACATCCCCAAGCCATCAGTGATGATAGCCTCCAGAAGAATGAGACTGGCTGGACATGTAGCCAGGCATGACGACCTTCTGGCAAACCAACTTCTGTTCTGCCTCTGGGACCCTCAGCATGGATACAGGAGACCGGGGAGGCCCCACCTCACGTTTCTGGACATGCTAAAGAAGGACACCAGCCTTTCCTGTGTTGACGAGATAAGATCTGTTATGCTTGACCGCGACGTGTGGCGAGGAATTATAGCTGCTCGGACCAAGAAGCCGACTTAAGTCGGTAGTATGTGGATAAGGTTTCGTGGTAATGTGACTGATCATGTGATCACGTAAAAGTAAAACGACTTGGTTTCACGTATTAAGCTGCACTGGTATAATAAAGGGACTTCATTTACCCTAGGTTGCAGCCGTTGCGGGTGCTCCTGCTTAATTTCAGCATTTAGGCACACCAGTTAATGGTTAAGCACAGGGCACAGGGATCCTTTTAAGGACGCCCGCGACTTGTTTCGTAACTTTGTGCAAAATTCTCTGTTTTCAGGGTTCTGTAATTATTTATAAAACTTTTTTTTCTTCCTTGTCGATAGTAGAAACATTTGGAAATCCCTATATTTTCCGTTCTTTAACTTTTAGTTGCGGTCTTATAGTAGTACAGTCTCTTAATTCTTAAGCATAGCAGTACATTATCTTGTAGCGCGATGCACTACTGGGTCGCGCGCGCATCAAATAATGCTTCTCGCAACCACGTATGCAGATCGGCGAGATGCGAAGGATTGACATCGTGAATCAATACATTATCGTGATTAAAGAAATGATAATGAAATAAATAGCTGTGGAAATGAGTGCCGATATATTCAAATGTCGTTGACGTTAGCCTGCTTGAAGTTGAAACATCAATTTATCTTGAAGTACCATTAGTACAGGGAAATCCGTCTGAAAAAATCGATCTGCTGACACACGAAGCTTTCAGAGGATTTTTGACGTTTTTGAGTTCCATTAGGTGCCCTTTATGGCTGACCAACTTTTCCAAACTTTTCCACGTGGCTTAAGGCCACTTTTTGCCACTTTACCACTTTTTACCACCTTTCTTGTTTGTCGAATATCTTTAGTTGTGAACATCGTAAAAGGTTGCGAATCAATCGAGTGTGTTCATATTATCAGGAAGAAAAACTTTTGTTCTAACAATTTTTACGTCAGATAATAAGTTAATTGGATAATTATCAATTAACCAATTAGCAAAATTCTAAAAATTTTTTATTGGCTAAAAATGATCGAAATAGCTTAAAACACGGAGAAAAGTAGTTTTTAGAAAAAATTTGAAAATTTTTCACTTACATTTTTTTTTCGAGACTTCGAAAAATTTCGAAAATTCAAAATATTTTTTCCGCCAAAAGTGATCAAATTGCATGAAACGCGGAGGAAAATGATTTTCAAAAAAAACTTAGTCAATTTTTCGTTTCAAGAATACTTAAATCACCAATATTTGTAGTTGGAGTTTAGTAAATCTCGGCAGATTTTAGTAATAATCAGGAATTACTAACTCTAAGTGGAAAGGTCTGAAACTGAAAAACGTTAAGTTTAACCATACGATCGTGATATAAGAGTTTCATGACTAATTACAATACAGCCTTATCGATTTTCACAGAAACTGCACCAATGGCACAGTCAAGATCGAAACGATAGCCTGCTGTACTGTCATTTTATTGATTTCAATGATGAATCAGTGGGGTTAAGATTTGTAATAAATAAAACCTCTCTGTACCGTCAATTGTGCTAATCTAAACCGGCCTACCTGTATTACCAGACCTCTTCTTTTCCTCAACAATCAAACCGAGTTGTTCATATCGCATTTGGTGGGTGATGTAAACTAAGTAGTAATACATATCGAGCTATATTCAATCACAATACGACACAATGCAACACGTGTATATTATATTATGGCCCTTAATGAGGTATATGAAATGTTCTATACCGTACACTTCTCGTTTCTCCCGTGAGAGGCCCGATATGGAGAGGTTTTACATTTTATCACGAAAATGTCTACTTGGTCTCATGGCTCTTTGACAGCTCAAAGAAGGCAAGAAAAACCAAAAAGCTTAGAATGTCAACTCGCAAGAGCGGGCTATCGGACAACTGAACCCAATTTAGACATTTAGATTAACCCTAACTCTAACCCTAACCCTAACCCTAACCCTAACCCTAACCCTAACCAATTAAGCTGATTGGTTAGTGGGAACTAGGTTCAATTGGGTTCAGTTGTCAGTCTTCGATCTGTCCCACATTAATCCCGAGCTGATCATCATGGGCCCCGAATATCCTGCGGGAAGAACCTGTATTTTTACTTCACGACGTCCGGATTTCAAATCAACATCCTCAATAACATTAACAATCCTTCCTGATCAGGATCTGTCTCTATTAGCAATTTCCAGAATATCCTGACTCTCGTGGAACAAGTCACTGAATTAATTATTACCGGTTCTTTACTACCCCTTGCCCGACACTGTACTCGTATCTAAATCTTACCCTTTCCCGTATGTTACCCTTGTTGATTTTACTTTTAGCCGACCGTGACATATGGGGGTGATTTGAGGTATCCCGCAAATGAAGCGGTATGCAGTACAATACAAAACAGTTACAGTAGATGTTGGAAGGTGTATTTACACTTGCTTCCTGGACCTGGCTGTTCCTCAGTTTCCCTGATCTGTTCTTGCCCTTCTTCGAACTGTAAATGGGCCATGAGACCAAGTAGACGTTTTCGTGATAAACTGTAAAACCTCTCTATACCGGATTTCTCACGGTATAAAGCGTTTCATAAACCTCATTAAGAGCCATATAATATACACGTACTGTGTCGTATTGTGATTGAATATAGCTCGATATGTATTACTACTTAGTTTACATCACCCACCAAATGCGATATGAACAACTCGGTTTGATTGTTGAGGAAAAGAAGAGGTCTGGTAATACAGGTAGGCCGGTTTAGATTAGCACAATTGACGGTACAGAGAGGTTTTATTTATTACAAATGTGATTATCTTAACCCCACTGATTCATCATTGAAATCAATAAAATAACAGTACAGCAGGCTATCGTTTCGATCTTGACTGTGCCATTGGTGCAGTTTCTGTGAAAATCGATAAGGCTGTATTGTAATTAGTCATGAAACTCTTATATCACGATCGTATGGTTAAACTTAACGTTTTTCAGTTTCAGACCTTTCCACTTAGAGTTAGTAATTCCTGATTATTACTAAAATCTGCCGAGATTTACTAAACTCCAACTACAAATATTGGTGATTTAAGTATTCTTGAAACGAAAAATTGACTAAGTTTTTTTTGAAAATCATTTTCCTCCGCGTTTCATGCAATTTGATCACTTTTGGCGGAAAAAATATTTTGAATTTTCGAAATTTTTCGAAGTCTCGAAAAAAAAATGTAAGTGAAAAATTTTCAAATTTTTTCTAAAAACTACTTTTCTCCGTGTTTTAAGCTATTCCGACCATTTTTAGCCAATAAAAAATTTTTAGAATTTTGCTAATTGGTTAATTGATAATTATCCAATTAACTTATTATCTGACGTAAAAATTGTTAGAACAAAAGTTTTTCTTCCTGATAATATGAACACACTCGATTGATTCGCAACCTTTTACGATGTTCACAACTAAAGATATTCGACAAACAAGAAAGGTGGTAAAAAGTGGTAAAGTGGCAAAAAGTGGCCTTAAGCCACGTGGAAAAGTTTGGAAAAGTTGGTCAGCCACAAAGGGCAACTAATGGGACTCAAAAACGTCAAAAATCCTCTGAAAGCTTCGTGTGTCAGCAGATCGATTTTTTCAGACGGATTTCCCTGTACTACATATTGGAACAAATATTTTGATATCCTCCCCGGCACAATTTTGACCATTGTTAATGATCTGGCCCGGCGCGCGCTACTTCCAACTTCGTAGCTCGTGCCGACGAAGAAAGCGGCGCGCGCTACTTCGAAGAAATTTAGACGAGTAACATCCGTCAAGGATTTGAGCAGATATTGTGGTACATCGTGATAGAGGCAGGGTTCATGCTGCCTTCAGTAGTGGTCTTCATCAGCTTCGTAGTGAGCACATTTTCTCTCTACAAGAAAGGAAATCTCAAAACAGAGAAGGACGTAAAATACAGAAGAATCTCCATAACTGTGGCTCTATTTACAGCTGTGTTATTGATCTGCAACATTCCATGTTTCATCTACCAACTAAACCTCATCATCTTCCGTGTCAGTAATTACGTGATTGGTCTAGATGTGAAGTGTGATGCAGCCTGGTCCATTCCATAGTTCCATTGGTATGGATCTCTAGTGTCACAGTTCTTGACTACCTTCCTCAATCGAGTTGACCCTTAATATATTATTCTCATTGTTACAGCTGTTAGTATTAGTTAATGTTAGGTATCTATATGTACCGCCTAGTCTAGGGATTAAGCTAAAAGGATTCCGTTGCTACGTTACAAATCTGTGGACCTTCTCCTCGGTTGACTCAGCCGAATTATCAGAAACGTGATTTCTAGCGGAAAATGAGGGTAACATGATTAGCCCATTCTAGCGAAGGCTTGGGCGAAGAAAGTGTGGAATTTCTTGACCGTCGCTGGCCTAATTGTAATTGCACCTTCGGTGCAGCTCCCGTAATTACAATATGACCATTTTGCTGTGGACAAACCGAGGTAAAATAAGAATTTATAGAAAAATTATCCAACAACTATACTTTGAGCATAGTTGATAATCTATTAATGAATAACTTTCCAAAGAAAGGTTAAAAACGAGGTAAACAGATTTTGAGCAAAAGCGTGAATCAGAAAAAATATAACAGTAAACCGACTAAAAATTCACTCATGTTGCATGTATAGAAAACATATTTGGTTTGATTATTCAACTGGGGGGGGGGGGGGGGGGGGTCCAAGGGGAACTTTGGGGAGTTTTGGGGAACTTTTTTTTGGGGAACTTCAGGAAACCTGGGGGACTTCCCAAAGTTCCCCAAAAAATTATCAATGAAACAAATAATTTTGGGGAATTTTGGGGAACTTTTTTTTGGGGAACTTCAGAAAGTTCCCCAAAATTCCCCAAAGTTCCCCAAAAAAATTATAATGCCAAACAAATTATCATGCTGCAAGTATCAACAAGTAAGTTAAGATTATACCTTATAATAACATACATGTTAACATTAATTGGTATTAATGTATATTAGAGAAATTTTGAATAATTTTGAATAATTTTGAATAATTTTAAATAATTTTGAATAATTTTGGGGAATTTTGGGGAACTTTGGGGAGTTTTGGGGAACTTTTTTTTGGGGAACTTCAGAAATCTTGGGGGACTTTCCCAAAGTTCCCCAAAGTTCCCCTTGGACCCCCCCCCTCAACTGTATAATTTGCAAAAATACAAACACGACCCAAATATTAAGTTATCAAAATCACTAAAAATCGAATTAATTTCCCGATTAACAATTTCTCGCCCAGCAACAACAGGACAAAAAAGTCTGAAAAACAGTAATTCACAACTTAGCACACATCAAGAAGTCACTTATGGTCTGGACCGCGAGGTTGTAGCTGTGGGCCTTTACACGGAGATTACTGTCATCTGTAAGGAATACTACTACTCGCGTTATGTGCTGTGTTCCTGCCATTTTCGCTGTGTGACCTGCCAAAAAGAGATTTTAGTTCATTCTCCATGAATATTGAATAAACCGTAAAGTGGAAACAACTTATCCCTCGGGAATATTCATATGAGTTATAAAAGTTGCTCAGTGGTAAAGATTCCGACCTAGTTATTCAACTACTACTATTACTACTATGTCGGAACTAAGATTCCGACCTCGTTATTCAAGTAGTATAATATTCTAGTCGACAAAAAACCAAACACTTTATTTTCTCACCAGTAGATTCACTGAGACTGAGAACACCGTTTAGAATCAGATCGTCGTTACTTTGTCTCGCTCTCTCTTCTTTGAACTCTCTGCTTTCCAGGATAGAGCCCTGCAGTGTAAATTTACAGTTCAGAACAGACGGTCACGTGTTATGTAGTGTCATTAGTTTTAACCAGGTGTAGCACATCCTGGTTCCATAATATCATCCAAATCATCGAGGGGGAGGGAGTTTTAAAATGATCACGCTAGTGTAATTTTGACACAATAGCTATGTGTAAAACTGATTACGGAGGGGAGACGGGGGTGAAAAATTGGCCAAAAAAGTTATTAAGTAATATGTGAACGGTCCCTAATTAAATCCCTAAATTGAACAAAGATATAAGTAGTAGAATGAAAATGTCGGGACTCGAGCTGATATTAAATAATAAGGAAAATAAGGAAATGCTTTGAAAAATACAAGAAATTTTTACAGAAACTTGATTTGCACTACTAGTTGTGAAATATAGCCCACAACACACCACCAAAGAACGAATTAATCAATCAGTTAAAACAACCAAGTGTTACCTTTGAAGTTAAGAGTGCTACTGATTTGTCAGCAATGAATTTGTTAACTGAATCCAGGGCCTGAGCGGCTCTCTCACCCTTATTGCTACTCTTACACAATCCTGTTATCTCATCCAACACCACTAGAGGTATTAGCAGCTTGTACGAGCTCATTACTAGACGTTGCATCTGAAATGAATTAGGTTTGTTAATTATTTAGTTACGTAGGATATTTTGTTGTTTCACCACACCAAAGTTGCAATCCTTTAATAAGAGTTTAAGCAGGTTTCGTTGGATTATGTTCAAATCATCGACGAATAAACACTATGTTTCTGAAACAAACCTTATCTAGAGTATCTAAGAAACAGTTTGTGTCAGGGATGATGTATTTTGGTTTGACTGTGATCCTGATTCGCATTCCTTGGATCTGCTTTACTGCTGCCTCCATTTCGTCTTTCCTGTCCTGACGATTGATAATTCTCGTAATCAAAAGAACTCAATAGCAGATAGCTGCAGATAACGAAGAAAAAAGCGAGTGGATTGGACAAGCTCACGAGATCTCAATTTCAGTTATTGGAACATATATATTATGGCTGGCGTGCGCGCGCACTGCACAGCATCGCACTTTAATCAGAGTAAACTCTCCGCCGCTTACGCTGATACAAGATTCAAACTGTGACAGAATATTGCTCTACGAACTTGTTTATCCTGCAATGTCTGAAGAAGTTTCCCTTTCTTTTCCAAGAGTTCAGCAACTTCAGTATCTTCCTCAGTAACTTCAGTATCTTCTTCAGCAAATTTGGTATCCGCTTCAACATTGTTAGTAGCACTCTGGGCGCCCTCGCCTTCACCCTGTAATATGGTTTATTATTAAGTAATAAGCGTCTTACAATCTTATCCAAAAAAGAAAAATGTAGCAGGATAACAAATGATAACCTCAGTTGTCAGAAATTGAGCTTCGATGAAAAGAAACTACTCAAATCCAAGATATTTTGTTCAAAAACAGACCGTTTTATGAGTAATCTTCATGACCGATATTATCTCTAAATCTGATCCACTGTCTTCGTCACTCAATTCAGCTGCCTTCCCTAACTCCACCTCTTCTAAAACAACTCCTTCTTCATTCATAGCATCAACTGTTTCACCCTCTTTCACATCAATTTCACTCTTCGTTACGATCTGTTCAGTTTTGCTGTCCAAGTATTCAAAGTTTCTGCTCTCGGTGCATCCAAGGAATGTTAGATTTGCTGCTAACTTTTCAAATGTACTCACAATCAGAACTGCAACATATCACGTGATTACGAGTTTGATTCAGGGCGGCCGGTCCAAATACTATTGAAAGGGAACGGCTCTTGGAGATTGGCCAATAAAAACTGTGTTCAGTGCAGACTGCAGACCAAGAAGGAAACATAATAATTGCCAAGGAGAATTTAGAGAAATCGAAAGCGGGAAAAAACGAAAGTCGAAAGTGACATAAAACCAACCAGCTCTGCCGAGATCTTCGCTCTGTTCTCTTGTCAGGTTGTTAAGATAGAAAGGTTTTGTTATGTTCTGTAACGATGATAACAGCTCTATACCACGCAGCATGGTGACCTCTTTCAGAACCACACTCTCTTCGGTAAAATCAGTGTACTGAAAATGGAAAGTAACTGAGTTTGATAGTTGGATCTTAAAATGACTGGTAATCTTTATCGGTTTAGTATCAATTAATCTCGTATCAGCATCAGAAACTGTCATGCTAGTAGATGTTTTAGTGCTACATATACACGCATTTCTAATACAAGGGGAGTCCCGAAATATTGACATTTTAAAATCTCGTTGAAAATGGAGATGATATGACTTCAAAATTAAAATCACGTGACTAAAATAAAACATTTTACTTTTCTGTATCTCGTGATTGCACTTTGTAGAACGTTTAACCAATCTATCAGTTTCTTCTTGAACATCACACTGAATTTCTCGATAACATCACTGTCTATTTCCTGGTGGTTATTCGAAAGATAACATTCCAGAGGAACATTCCAAATATTTCATTGCAAAACAGGACAATAAAATGTGCATAATATAATATAAAATGTGCATAATATAATATGTAATTCAGTAAACCCTCTCTTCCCCACAAATTGATAACAAGTCACTAGATTTAATATTCACCGAGGATTGAGATAAGAGGAATATGAGAGATAAGGGCGAGTGTGTGTTACACAGCCATTCGTCTCCCTGCGGAATAAAAACAATAAGTCATCCAACATACCCCATATCATTATGTAATTGTATAATATGTCATCCAACATACCCCATATTATTATGTAATTGTATTGACATTTTTCACTTTAACTTGCAACGGGCGATAGTCACAAATTTCACAATTGTAGCGCACAGCACACAATTAAATTGCTGCACACGCTTACTTAAAACAACTGTTGTCCAAAAATGTACAGAAGGGGGGGGGGGGGGGGAGGAAATATAAATATACCCCACCTGTTCTGTTGCGGAAATGAAGGATAGATCGAGGGAAGGAATGAGGGGGGGGGAGGGGGGAATATAAATATACCCCACCTGTTCTGTTGCGGAAATGAAGGATAGATCGAGGGAAGGAATGAGGGGGGGGGGAGGGAATATAAATACACCCCACCTGTTCTGTTGCGGAAATGAAGGATAGATCGAGGGAAGGAACGAGGGGGGGGGGGAGGGAATATAAATATACCCCACCTGTTCTGTTGCGGAAATGAAGGATAGATCGAGGGAAGGAACGAGGGGGGGGGGGGAGGGAATATAAATACACCCCACCTGTTCTGTTGCGGAAATGAAGGATAGATCGAGGGAAGGAATGAGGAACTGCTCCAACATTTCAATAGCACGTGCGGAATGCGAGGATTTGTGTATTGTGTAGAGCTGGACTACAAACAACTGTACATACACTTCGTCCGATTCGACTGTAAAACGGGGGAATGTTAGGAGACATGTAAGGTTATGTGATATTATAATAATCGGATTGGCAGTGAGTTCGACCAAGATTTAAGTTATTTCCAGACGTGGTCCTCAAACATATTTATAAACTTTTAAAAATGAATCTATATTGAATTTAGTTAGATGTAGATGTAGATGTAGATGAGATGTAGATGAGATGTAGATGTAGATGAGATGTAGATAAGATGTAGATGTAGATGAGATGTAGATGTAATGTAATGTAATGTAGATGTAGATGAGATGTAGATGAGATGTAGATGTAGATGAGATGTAGATGTAATGTAATGTAATGTAGATGTAGATGAGATGTAGATGACTTACATGAGGTAAGTTTGATATAGTGTCGGTAGAATTTCAAGAAACACTGAAACTCTGAGTCTACTCTGTCCAGATCAATATTTGATAGGAATCCTCCAAGACAGGAAAGGAGGTACACCACAAACCTGAAATAATAATTAACTGATTAATTAATTTACTGATTATTTTACTAACCTGAACGTACATTTTTCATTCATATTATATTAGCGACATAATATTGAGCATAATATTTGAAGAGAAATATATACGGAAAGTACAAATTTTCAAAAACATATAGTGAAGAACATAAAACATCATAATATTATTATAATATGAAAGGGAAATCAGAAACATAGGTTTGTGATTTACCGTTTTCTAAGATCAGGAGGTGGTATGCTGAGAGATTGATCACCCGACTGTTCAAACACCCATTCTATCACCTTGTTGCTGTACACTTCTTTTGAACCTGTTGGTTGTGTAGAGTTATGTGCGGAGTGATGGATACTGCAATAATATGATATTATTATGAATCAATAACCAGTGATTGGTTACCAGCTAACATATTTGGGATTCTTTGAGTTTTTTAAAGCAAGAATTTGTAAGATCTGGCTGACCTCTATTCTTGAAATTTGTGCGTTTTTACCGCCCAAAGAGGGATATACTTTGAAATTGCATTCCAGTCAGAATATTGGAATTAGCTGGGGGAGTAGGTATGTGGGACTACACTACAAGCAGTGGGACTACACTACAAGTATTGGGACTACTCTACAAGCAGTGGGACTACACTACAAGCAGTGGGACTGCACTACAAGCAGTGGGACTACTCTACAAGCAGTGGGACTACACTACAAGTAGTGGGACTACACTACAAGTAGTGGGACTACACTACAAGTAGTGGGACTACACTACAAGCAGTGGGACTACACTACAAGTAGTGGGACTACACTACAAGTAGTGGGACTACACTACAAGTAGTGGGACTACACTACAAGCAGTGGGACTACACTACAAGTACTGGGACTACACTACAAAGCTACAAGTACTGGGACTGCACTACAAGTAGTGGGACTACACTACAAGTAGTGGGACTACACTACAAGTAGTGGGAATACACTACAAGCAGTGGGACTACACTACAAGTAGAGGGACTACACTACAAGTAGTGGGACTATACTACAAGCAGTGGGACTACACTACAAGCAGTGGGACTACACTACAAGCAGTGGGACTGCACTACAAGTAGTGGGACTACACTACAAGCAGTGGGACTACACTACAAGTAGTGGGACTACACTACAAGCAGTGGGACTACACTACAAGTAGTGGGACTACACTACAAGTGTGATATCGTAAAACGATCCGATCCTTTATCCACGACCTGTATTACAAGCCATAAATAATAAATATTCAAAGTTTAATCGTGGTTTTAGTGTGCTAAGAGATGTAGACTCAAGCTTCTCACTTACCATTGAGCTGCCCAGTTTTTTATAGCAACAATAGATATTCAAAGCATTTCTAATAGATGAGACTCAATTCTCTCACAAACCATTGCGAATCGAATCGTTACACTTACAGAACAATGACATTATTGTAAAAGGGCACCGTGATATATAATATCTAACACAAGTTAAACCCTGCAGACTACAACTTTGGTTATCTATAACACCAGGAGGGGTCAAGGAACTGGGTCCACGTGAGGAACAAGGATCACTTCTACGAGGATCCTCTTCTTTTAGTTCAGTACTATTCGGGGGGTTTTCTTTTGTTTAACAAGACCGTCTTGGTTCAAAGCTGCATTATATTTTAATTTTAGTCACTTTAAAGTAGTTTTAAAACCAGTAAAATCAGTATCATCGTTTAATGGGGAGGGGGTGACATGTCCGCCAAAATTTCAATTTTGCTTCTCTCGACCTTGTTTGGTCTGTAACTTCGTCATTTATTGTTAAATTATAAAATCCTTTGAAGGGCTTCTTGTACGGATTGTGAATAATGTTCAGTAAACAAATCTGCCTAAAAACGTTTAAAATGACTGAAATACCGGTATTACAGTGATACAGACTTCTCAAAATTTCCAAAACTTTCGAAAAAGAAAATATTTATTTTTTCGAAAGTGAGTGCTCTCAAAAGTAATTTGTAATGTATTAAATCTAATTGTTTTTATGTATACTTTAATAATATGAAGTCAAATCTCGGGTCCCGGCATAAAAGGTTTTGATATATGTCCCCTTAATTATGGTCACAAAACATACAACTTCGATTAAGTTCGGGTTCTTCAAAAGTTACCAGTTCGGCCGCTTCCTAAGTTAATTTTATCCAGTTTAGGTTGTCATTACTAATATCTTTACAACTCAGTCTCAGTTTCATTGTTAGAATTTTCCATCACCCCAACAGCATTGCTCGCTCTATTTGGGAGGATTCCAACAATCCACAACCTCATTTCCCTCATCCTCAAAACATAGAGCAGTGGGTTTAGAGAAGCGTTTAGGACCGAACAGAATATTTCACTAATAATACTGTAGAAAGACATAAAATCGTTATTATATATTGGACCCGGGTAAGTGTTGGACACCATGGTGTAAGTGAGAAGACAGCAGCTGATGAAACTAAAGCAATTGCAGCAGAGGAAGAGGGCAGTAAAGTAAGTAATGGTGATGGAAGCATGGTGATTTCTCTTTTGGGACACACTGTTTGCGACAGGTTCTTTCCGGAGCATAACAATCGAGACAAGAAACGTCAGAAACACATTGATTGAAGATATTCCCAAACAAGCGATCCAGCTAAACATGTAGCAGATAAACAGCAATGACGCCAACGTAGATTCCGGGGATACCTCAGGTTTTGAGGATACATCACTATAAGGTGACAGAGCGGAGGTGTAATGCATTTCGGGAACAAAAAAAATTAGAGAGTTGCAAATACAATTGTAAAGTAAATAGATAACAATGGACACAAGAACTGCTCTTTTGTTGACTTTGTAGAAAGGATACTTTATGACAATCGCTCGTGATAACGACAGTGTCATAACCACGAATATGGACATTTCTTGAAGCAACAGAATGATGAAATTCCAAATGGAGTTGACAACTGTGTTGCTTAGTAATCCAAGAGTTCGGTTATTCAGCAGATTAAAAGCAAATGGAAGGTGAATGACGGAGGAACCTATATCGATAGAACAGGCAACTATGTAAAGAAGAGTTGACAGATTTCGTTTTTTTGTGTGGACGAAATATCTCAAAGCTAGACAGTTTCCCGGCAGTCCGATCACAAAGCAGACAAAGAACCCGAACGCTAGCAAGCCATCATAAATTCTGTACTGAGTTTCTAGGATCGGAGTCTCATTCATCCTCAAACTTATAATCTGCGTAGCTTGAATCAATGTATGGAAAGTTTCTCGGACTACTTTATCACAAACGTATGTTAAAGCCTTTAAGTACTGAGTAAAACTGATAATTATTTAAAGCTGTGGCTCATTGGCCCACGGTTACATTTATTTATTTATAAGCTAAGACACCGGTAGCATAATAATTAAAAAGGGAACATAAGCCGAGTGTGCACTAATAGACCACGTGGTTACGATCTGGTCATATTGGGCACAGAAAAAGTGTGTGCAGATGATCTAACATTAAATGCCCCTATCAAGATTCCTGAAAAAGTGCGATGAGACTGGATTTTGACCATTTGAAAGTGCGATTGTCACGTTTCACGTGCAGTGGCATCGTGGCGAAAAGTACTTATTTTTTACAAAATGATTGCATGAGCATATCCTGGGTATTAAAAGTTAGCAGGTCATTATAATAGTCAAGGATAATAACTTGTGGCTACTATATTTTCTGTAAGTTGTCTAAGTTAGACCCGTCGTATAGACAACTGCATACAAGGAACCTGGAGCTGGCTTGTTAGATGCAACTCTTGTTAGATGCAACTCTGGCAATAATTGAAAACAATTAAGACCAAAAGATCAATGACCATGAAAATCCCCGCGGCTTAAAGTTTAAAAGTGATTAGGTGTCCAGTATTGAGTATACATATATTTTTAAAACGGCCGAAAAATGTGTCATCCTTAATCCCATACCTTACTGTTCTATGCTTTGCTGATTATAATACCGAGGAATTATTAGTTCTTCATCAGCTACACTCACAAGAATTTCTGAAGCGATATCTTATGACCTGGGTGATTGGTAAAATATAAAACTTTGATTTTTTGGATAAATTTCAATTTTGCTTCTCTCGACCTTGTTTGGTCTGTAACTTCGTCATTTATTGTTTAATTATAAAATCCTTAGAAGGGCTTTTGTACGGATTGTGAATAATGTTCAGTAAACAAGTCTGCCAAAAAACGTTTAAAATGACTGAAATATCGGTATTACAGTGACAGACTTCTCAAAATTTCCAAAACTTTCGAAAAAGAAAATATTTATTTTTTCGAAAGTGAGTGCTCTCAAAAATAATTTTTAATGTATCAAATCTTATTGTTTTTATGTATGATTTAATAATATGAAGTCAAATCTCGGGTCCGGGCATAAAAGGTTTTGGTATATGTCCCCTTAATTAATGGGGAGCATCATGGATAAAAATTTATAAAGCATCGTTAAATGTTAGCTGACAGATAATTGGTGAAATTATACTCATCTAGTATGTTACTTTCAAGCCTTCTAGGTTACTCCTAGTGGATAAACATGGTTATCGCTTATACCTTGCAGCGCACAGTAATCCGGTAATCGTAACCTTTTACAGCTTTGACTCCAACATTCAGTTACATAATTGCAATCTTACAAGAAAATTACCTAGAACTGCGATGCCATGTACACCGTTAATCGTTATAAGTTCCTGTTCACACAAGCAAAGATTCTCGGCTCCCCCCTAGAGGGCCCTCTAATCACATAATCCTTCATAAAACAATGGACAAACAATAAGCGCTACAAGGAAATGAAATAAAAATAGAATAGCAATTTGTTAAATCTCGTGAGCAAGGCTCTCCCATTCCATACTTCTACTATTGTCACTGTCTCTTTTAAATTTACCAGTTTGTTTGCTTTTAGTTTATCTGAGAGAAATCCAAATACCACTTGTAGGTCAAAATTTCTTCCAGCACCCATTTGCGTTGAGGACGGTTTCAGCTGTCATAAAATGTTTTTTATTACATTATTTAATATTAATGAAAGGCCATAGGTCACAGGGAGGAGGATAATAGGGGAGGCCGACTTACAGGCCCCCTATTATTAGGGGTCCCACGGTGATCAGATCATTTCACCAATTAGTGAACAAAAATATCCGTCACAACCGAAGATACAGCCGATTAACTCAAAACTGTAAAACATTACACATAATGTAATATGACAACAAAACCGATCAAAATGACGTTCCAACATCCTTTGCACTATGAAATTTCCTCAATTTTCTGTTCTTTCTCTGATCGCCTATTTAATCTGACATTACTAGGGGATTCAAACATAATAACATAATAAA